TGCAGGTACAACCCCCATTTTTTCCTCCTCGATATTTCAGCTCGACATAAGATCATCATTCGGCCACCTTGCAGGTTCTGATCAACCGGTAAGATCAATTTCTTTTCATACTCTTGATAAACACCTCCCTCTCCATGAAGTAATCCTTCTCCAAATACGGTCCTTAATAAACGCAAAAGTACTTTTCTTACTTCTACCAATCATCGACAGAAAACCCAAATACTTCCCCGTCCCTAGCACATGTCGTACACCCATGACTCTAGCAAGGTCTTCTTGGGATAGAATAGTAATATTGCGGCTGAAAAAAACTTCTGATTTTGACATGTTAATTTCCTGGTCCGAGGCATCTACATAAGTTTGGAGAATTTCCATCAGTTTTCACACTTCAGCTAAATAGGCCATGCAAAACAAAAAACATTCGCCATCAAAAAGCAGATGGGACACCCTTGATGCCCTCTTACATATCCGGATCTCATAGATATCCCCTCTAAAACTAGCGTTGTGAACAATAGGGAATAATCCTTCAACTACGAGGATGAAGAGACAAGAAGATAAGGTATCTCCTTGTCTTAGGCCCCTCCTTACATGAATTGGTCCAACTCTATCGTAATTAACCAAAACAAAATAATTAACAGAACTCACACACATCATAATTCAATAGATCCATCTATCTGCAAAGCCCAACCAACAAAGAACAACTCACAAGAATCTCCAGTCTACTCTATCATAAACTTTACTGATGTCTATCTTGAGAGTTAGCTCTACTTTATTACCCTTCGTTCTCTGCTTCAACGTATGTATAGTCTCAATGGCTTTATATCATTATCAAGAATAGACCAACCTTCTACAAATGCCGACTGTGCCTCCGATACACACTTAGATAAACATCTTTTTATTATGTTGGAAAGGAGTTTCTCAACCATCTTATACACTACATTACACAACAAGATATGTCGCAAGTTTTTCATATTATTAGGGTCCTCACACTTTGGAATAATACAAATATTAGTATCATTCATAGTGTGAGGAAAAAACCCTGTGCCTAGCCAATTTGTTACTGCCACAAAGATATCATCAACACACAACTCCCAAAAGTTTTGATAAAAAGTCGCTTTAAAACCATCTGAACCAGGAGATTTTGGTGCATATGCTTTAGGGCTGCGGTAGCATAGTATTATCCTCTATGGACACACACTGCTACATGGTGGAAAGAACTAGTTCGCAAGCACTGCTCTTCATCGAAAACAGTTTGTTGAATATTGCACAACTTCCAGTGGATTTCTTCTTGCATGAGGATTTTATCATATTGCTTCTGAACTACAAGAAACCTATCATCATCATCTGAACCCTTACGATACATTTCTATCCTTTCCATGCACTCGTTCATTTCTCTCTTGAATCTCGTAAGTTTGTTTCGACTCCACCGTTTTAACTCTTCCGCACAATCTGCTATGCAACTACCAACATCACGGTGGTGATACAACCTCCTCCAAATCTTCTTGAAGCAGCCATCGATTTTCAAATTAAAAATGAGTTTAAAATAGCTTATATTATTTTAATAATTTTTCATAAATTTTTTTTTTTTGAAAATAAAAAAAAAATCATTTTTTAACTAGCAAACACACTTGACGTTTAATTAAACAAAATTAATGTATGTTAATATGATTAAATTAAAGAAAATGTTAACAAACTTACGATTTAAGATAACATATAAAATTTAATATTATAATAGTAATATAAAATTTATTTATAATTATTATAGTAGTTCAGTAAATATAAAATTTAACATTATTATTTTTAAAATTAAATATATTTTTAGTCTCTATAAAATTATTAAAAATGAATTTTAGTCTCTATAAAAAAAGTGATATATAATTTTAGTCTCTCTACAAAAATTAAAAACAAAAATAATTTTATAAAGACTTAAACTCGATTTTTTTTAAGAGATTAAAAACTAAAATTAAAATATTTATAGTGACAAAATATATTTAACTTATATTTTTAATATAAAAAGAAAAGTATGGTCTTATCTCAACCTTAAATATTAGACGTATTTTTCAATCGGTGTGACTTTTCACCGATGCTACTAAGAGAAAAAGTAAAACATAATATTTATAGTGATCCATTTAATATTGTTCTATTATAAATTCTCCTTTAATGAAAACTTATTACTCAGAAGATGAAAATTTAGGGAGCCAAAAGGTTTATGCACTAGTACTATACTTTATCTCAAACGTTGCAACCCCTTTTCTTCCGAAGGTTGTTAATTCCAACTAAATCAAAGCTCATATGTGAAACTATATATAAATGTAGATTTATTTGTGAAACTATATCATCACACACACACATTCAGATCAATCTTAAGCTATTCCAAGCTTTGTATTTGCAAAATGGTTTCAAGTTCAAGGCCAATTAAGGTAATGAAATTTGAGGATCTAATCCAGTTAGTTCCGAATTGGCTTGAACTTCCCAGAGAATTGACATCAAAGATACTTCAATTGCTTGGTCCTGTAGAAATTGTGAGGAATGCACGTCAAGTGTGTTCTATGTGGAGGAACATTTGTAGGGATCCTAGCATGTGGAAGAGCATTGAAATGATTAAGGGTTTCAATTCACCCTATAACTTAGAGAAGATTTGTATGTATGTTGTTGATCAAGGTTGTGATCATGTTGAAGAAATTAATGTTGAATATTTTGCTACTGATGAACTCATCAAAAAAATAGCTGAAAGGTAATAATACTATATCTTATTTTTGTTTTCATGTTAAATTTTTTTGTTATGTTAAGGATTTGTTCTTATTTCTAATCAAATTTTTTTTGTTATGTTAAGGATTTGTTCTTATTTCTAATCAACCATTTTTTGTTTCAATTTTGACTTCAAATTATACAGAACTACCAATCTGCGACGCATCAGGATCTCAAAATGCTTGAAAATTTCTGATAAAATATTTAGTGATGCTGCAAAAAAGTTTTCACTACTTGAGGAGCTTGAACTTTCATTCAATGATTTAAACAAAGATTCTCTTGAAGCTATTGGACAAAACTGTCCACATTTGAAAACATTAAAATTCAATAGAGCCTACAAAGGAATTAAGTGTACATCCTACAAAGGTTCTAAATGCAACAAAGAAGCATTTGCTATTGCAAAAACAATGCCCGGATTAAAACATCTTGAGCTATGGGAAAACAAGCTCACAAATGATGGTTTAATTACTATTCTTGATGGTTGTCTTAACCTTGAATTTCTTGACCTTCGTATGTGTTACAATCTTGTTATGTTTGAAGATTTAGAGAAAAGGTGTGATGAGAATATTAAATATTTTAGACATTCAGATGAATATATTGATGAACACGATGATGATAATGATGATCATGTTAAAGAATACTATTGTAAATGTCGTGATAGAAATAGGAAAGGAATCAAGGAATCAAGGGGACGAAGATAACATATATAAAGTTTAATAAGTTTTGTTAATCAATTGTGTGACTAGAGGCTGAGATGTTTTGAAGGAATTTATTTGGATGAAGTTTTTTTTTTTGGTTTGTTTGAAATGTAATGAAAATGAATTTTGGCTGATTGTTGGAGACAATTGTGACTTGTTTTTTTATTTTTTTATTGTTAAAAGTAGTTTGATTAGGAGAATTTGCTTAGTTTATGGATGTCTAATACACATTTTTTCTTGTGTCTATTAAAATAATATTAGCACCCACCTTTATAATTTTAAAACAAATACTAACATTTTAAAATTACTCATCAAATTGATAAATATATTTTCTTATAAACACTTAAAAATTGATACTAGATAACAATTGAAATTTATACTTACAGTAATAAAATTTATAGGGATCGATAACATTTCCCAATAACTTTTGTGCATAGAATATATTTGTGTCTATTTTCAAAAAATAGTGTGTGATTTTTCAATTGACTTTAGGGAGGTGTGTAATTTCCCCTACAATTAATGAATTTTAAGTTTTTTATTTTTATTCTAAAGATGTTTTACAATTATGACCGATCAGTAGTATCAAGTTAATACTAATTGACTTTAGAGTTTAAAGTTCCATTTCTAAAAATTATATTGATAGATATACCTTCTTCTCTCTAATTACAAAAACCTTCTATGATATATGACGAGAATTAACAAAGATGGTTGAAATATTAATTTCGTTATTTATTTGTGTAATTTTACAACTTTATTTTTAAGAGGGATAATTATTTGATTTCGTTCCTAAATATAAAACTTCTTTTCTAATTAAAGAAAATGTTAATAAACTTACGATTTAAGATAACATATAAAGTTTAATATTATAATAGTAATATAAAATTTATTTATAATTATTATAGTAGTTCAGTAAATATAAAATTTAACATTATTATTTTTAAAATTAAATATAATTTTAGTCTCTATAAAATTATTAAAAATGAATTTTAGTCTCTATAAAAAAGTGAGCTTTAGTCTTTATAAAATTATTTTTATATATAATTTTAGTCTCTCTACAAAAACTAAAAGCAAAAATAATTTTATAAAGACTTAAACTCGACTTTTTTTTAAGAGATTAAAAACTAAAATTAAAATATTTATAGTGACAAAATATATTTAACTTATATTTTTAATATAAAAAGAAAAGTATGGTCTTATCTCAACCTTAAATATTAGACTTATTTTTCAATCGGTGTGACTTTTCACCGAGGCTACTAAGAGAAAAAGTAAAACATAATACTTATAGTGATCCATTTAATATTGTCCTATTATAAATTCTCCTTTAATGAAAACTTATTACTCAGAAGATAAAAATTTAGGGAGCCAAAAGGTTTATGCACTAGTACTATACTTTATCTCAAACGTTGCAACCCCTTTTCTTCCGGAGGTTGTTAATTCCAACTAAATCAAAGCTCATATGTGAAACTATATATAAATGTAGATTTATTTGTGAAACTATATCATCACACACACACATTCAGATCAATCTTAAGCTATTCCAAGCTTTGTATTTGCAAAATGGTTTCAAGTTCAAGGCCAATTAAGGTAATGAAATTTGAGGATCTAATGCAGTTAGTTCCGAATTGGCTTGAACTTCCCAGAGAATTGACATCAAAGATACTTCAATTGCTTGGTCCTGTAGAAATTGTGAGGAATGCACATCAAGTGTGTCCTATGTGGAGTAACATTTGTAGGGATCCTAGCATGTGGAAGAGCATTGAAATGATTAAGGGTTTCAATTCACCCTATAACTTAGAGAAGATTTATATGTATGCTGTTGATCAAGGATGTGATCATGTTGAAGAAATTAATGTTGAGTATTTTGCTACTGATGAACTCATCAAAAAAATAGCTGAAAGGTAATAATACTATATCTTATTTTTGTTTTCATGTTAAATTTTTTTGTTATGTTAAGGATTTGTTCTTATTTCTAATCAACTATTTTTTGTTTCAATTTTGACTTCAAATTATACAGAACTACCAATCTGCGACGCATCAGGATCTCAAAATGCTTGAAAATTTCTGATAAAATATTTAGTGATGCTGCCAAAAAGTTTTCACTACTTGAGGAGCTTGAACTTTCATTCAATGATTTAAACAAAGATTCTCTTGAAGCTATTGGGCAAAACTGTCCACATTTGAAAACACTGAAATTCAATAGAGCCTACAAAGGAATTAAGTGTACATCCTATAGAAAAGTGAATGATTTTATTAGTTTACAGTAGTGTATATATACAGGTTTGATAAACCTAATTTGGAACAAATCAAGGTAACAAATCTCCTATTGATTTTCCACTAATGTAGCTATTAACTTTTGACTACAAACTAGGTAAATAACAGATTTGTAAATCGGCATAATTAAAGGAATTTTAAATCTAATTATTATTATTGATATCCTCCCGCAAGTTGGATAATTTGTAAGAGAGATGCAACTTCGACAGTAAAAACTCGAACCGTGGGCGAAGCAGCGGCTTTGTCAGAATATCAGCAAGTTGATCATCAGTAGAGACAAAAGTTACACGAAACTTGCCATGTTGAACGTTTTCACGGACAAAGTGATAGGCTAAGGCTATATGTTTCATTCGAGAGTGGAATACAGGATTAGAACTTAGATGTGTGGCACCGAGATTGTCACAATATATTACCGGATTAGCGGTTGGAGTGTGACCAAGTTCCGTAAATAAGGAAAGGACCCATAGTAGTTCACTGGCTGTGTCAGCCAAGGCTTTATACTCTGCTTCTGTGGATGATCGAGCAACCGAACGTTGTTTGCGGGAGCTCCAAGAGATGGGAGTACTGCCAAGATATAACAAGTAGCCGGTGGTTGAAACATAATCATCTTTGTCACCAGCCCAGTTTGCGTCCGAATATGCATGAAAGTTCAGCGGAGCTGTTGCCGAGATGAAGATTCCTTTGTCACATGAGCCTGCCAGATAGCGGAGGACTCTTTTGAGTGCATACCAATGCACCGTTCTTGGGTTCTGCATGAACTGTGCAAGTTTGTTGGTGCTGAAGGCGATGTCTGGGCGTGTAAGACTCAAGTATTGAAGACTTCCAACTAGCGTTTGGTACGCAGTTGGGGAAGGCAGAAGATCACCAGAATCCTTGAGTAATGGAATAGTTGCAGACAACGGAGTGGATGCTGGTTTCGTATCTGCCATACCTGATTGATGTAGTAGATCGGTGATATATTTTCTTTGTGAAAGAAACATACCCACAGCGGAAGGAATTACTTCGACACCCAAGAAGTAGTTGAGGCATCCAAGATCTTTCAACGAGAAGCGAGCAGCAAGTGTGGCAATGAGGCTGGATAATTCTACAGAAGAACTCCCAGTGACAATTATATCATCAACATATACTAATAAGTACAAAGTAACACCTGGTTTTTGGTGGATGAATAAAGATGCATCTGCAGTTGAATTAACGAAACCAATGGAGAGCAGAAATACTCGAAGTTTTGTATATCAAGCGTGAGGTGCCTGCTTCAGCCCATAAAGTGCCTTTTTGAGGCGACAAACATGATTAGGGAAGGTTTTGTTGACAAAGCCAGGCGGCTGCACCATAAAGACTTCCTCTTTGAGTGTCCCTTGAAGAAATGCATTATTGACATCAAGCTGACGGATGGACCACCCTTGATGAACTGCAAGTGTTAGAACGATTCGAATAGTCACTAGTTTAACAACGGGGCTGAATGTTTCCGTATAGTCACAACCGGGGCGTTGGTGAAACCCTTTGGCAACTAACTGAGCCTTGTAACGATCAATTGATCCATCTGGATTTCGTTTGATTCGAAAGACCCATTTACAACCAACCAAATTTTGAGCAGAGGACTTACTTACAAGATCCCAAGTGTGGTTGTGGTGTAAAGCATAAAATTCGGCTTGCATGGCTGAGCACCAATCAGGATCACGAAGAGCCTGAGTGATGGTGTTGGGTTCAATGGGAGAGGAGGATCGAACGTGTAGGTTGAGCTTTGTAAGAGGTTTGATGATGTTATTTTTAGACCGGGTGATGATCCCACCAGCATTGGTTTGTTGTCTTGGGTTTGGGTTGATGGGTGGTGGAGAAGGTTGGGGGAGGGTTGGGAGTTTGAAGGGGAAGTTTGAGTAGTATTGGTGGGTTCATTTGAGGTTGATGTTTGAGCCAAATCTGGTAAGTGGGTGATAGATGGAGTGGTATGGGCAGCAGATAAGTTTTCCGGTGGGTTTAGAGTGGTATTGTCAATAGGTTGAGCTAGGGGCGGTAAAATAGAGAGTTGAAATGGGCTTGTTTGTGGTTCTGTATGTGAATTAGATTGAGCTACCAGAGAGCTGTATGGGAATTTGGATTCCACGAACTTCACATGGCGAGAGGTATAAATCCTTCCAGTTGTGGGATCGAGACACAAATACGCGTGTTGATCCGCCGAATAACCTACAAAAACACACATAGCAGACTTTGGTGCAAGTTTATGGTTAGCATATGGTTTAATCCAGGGAAAACACAAACATCCAAAACATTTTAATTTATGATAATCCGGGCTAATGTGGAGTAATTTGGAATAAGGTGACTTGTACCCAAGAATTGGAGTTGGGAGATGATTTATGAGGTAGGCTGCAGTAGTCATGGCGTGAGGCCAATAGGTGAGGGGCAAGCCCGAATGGTGAAGAAGAGAGAGGCCGGTTTCGGCAATGTGACGATTCCGGCGTTCAGAGATTCCATTGTGTTCAGGTGTATGAGGTGGGGTGGTGTGGTGACTTATACCATGAGTGCTTAAAAATGGACGAAGTCCAATGTATTCACCACCATTATCTGTGTATAAGATTTTGATTTTGTGCTGATAAAAATTTTCAACTAGTGATTTAAATTTGGGAAATATATTTTGGACATCAGATTTGTGTTTTATTGGATATAGCCAGATATAACGAGTAAAATGATCCACAAACATGCAATAGTAATGAAGACCATCAATAGATAAAACAGGAGAAGTCCATACATCTGGAAAAATTATTTCTAATGGATAAGAAGATTTAAGAGTGGATTCATGAAAAGGAAGTTTGTGACTCTTACTAATTTGACATGAATTACAATCGGATTGTGGGAATTTATTTGAACCCAAAGAAAAATGTTGTTGAATAAATTTAAAGATAGAGGATGAGGGGTGCCCAAGCCTATGGTGCCATGATGCAGAGGATTCCGCGCGGACGGTATGGACAGATGGTGGGGAGGTGGGCCAGAGATAAAGTCCATCCACACATGAGCCCTTATGGGTTATTTGGCCTGTCTGCAAGTTCTTTACATGAAAAGAGTTTGGCAGGAAAACAACAACAGAGTCAGTCTGTTTGGTAAGTTTAGAGACAAAAATAATTTGTTATTTCATGGAAGGAACACACAGAGCATTAGACAAGGATAAATCATGAATTAAAAGTGTTCCAGAATGAGAGATGTTTAAACTTGAACCATTGCCCATGAACAGCGAGTCAGGACCAGTGTACGGATGATGAAGTGCCATATTTGCAAGATCGTTGGTTACATGATGTGTTGCTCCACTATCAACCAAGAAATCAGTATGAGATGGACCAGCAGCTGCAATGTTGGCCTGAGCCGATCCAGTGTGAGCAATAAAGTTTCGAGACGGTGGCGGGATACCAGGATGTTGCTGCTTGAAGAGTTGGCACTGAGATAGAACATGTCCTTTGACATTGCACCACTGACAGCGTCCAAGAAACGGTTTGCGATTGCTGGTGTGTTGATTAGACGGTGCAGGGAATTGACCAGACCGAGGCTTGTTGTTATAGTTGGGTCGAGCCTGAGCATTCAAAGCTGTAACCGGGGCAGGAGTTTGTCTCTGAGCAGCAACAATAGAGAGTTCTTGGATGAGAAGTTTCTCAAGGAGATCATCAAAGTTAATTGGGATATCCCTTGCGTTTATTCCATCAATGATTGCTCTGTAGCCGTCGTCGAGACCACGTAAAACATGGTCAGTCATGTCTTCAACCGAAACAGGAGATCCAAGTGAAGCAAGAAGGTCTGTTGTTTGCTTCAGAGAGTGCATATAGGTTGTGATGGATTGGGTACCTTTGGAAGCCATTCGAAGACGCTCTTTGAGTTGCTTGAGATGGCTGCAAGAGGCCTTGGCATATGTGTTTTTGAGAAGAGTCCAAAGACTATGTGAAGTCTTTGTCTGAGACACTAGAGAGGCCACTTCATTGGAGAGAGTGGTGAGGATAGCGCCATAGATGAGGCGATCTTGTCGATGCCATGTTTGATAAGCAGTATTTGTTGTCGTCACTGAGGGTGTTGCAGTGGTAGAGATCGTTGTCAGCGGCGCGGGGAAAGATCCATCTGGATATTTTAGGAGATCAAAGCCATCAAGGAAAGCTTCAACTTGGAGTTTCCAATTAAGATAATTTGTGGGAAGCAGCTTGGTGACACTGCTAAGAGTGATGCACACAAAGGGTTTGGATGGCTCATAGGGGTTGGTGATGTAGTGGGAACTGTCGGAGGCCATGGGAGACGAGGTTGACAGCAGGAATGAGAAACGGCATTCTGAATTAGAAGGATAGGGCTGAATCGTTTCCAACTGATACCATATAGAAAAGTGAATGATTTCATTAGTTTATAGTAGTGTATATATACAGGTTTGATAAACCTAATTTGGAACAAATCAAGGTAATAAATCTCCTATTGATTTTCCACTAATGTAGCTATTAACTTTTGACTATAAACTAAGTAAATAACAGATTTGTAAATCGGCATAATTAAAGGAATTTTAAATCTAATTATTATTATTGATACATCCTAAAAAGGTTCTAAATGCAACAAATAAGTATTTGCTATTGCAAAAATAATGCCCAGATTAAAACATCTTGAGCTATGGGGAAACAAGCTCACAAATGATGGTTTAGTTGCTATTCTTGATGGTTGTCTTAACCTTGAATTTCTTGACCTTCGTATGTGTTACAATCTTGTTATGTTTGAAGATTTGGAGAAAAGGTGTGATGAGAATATTAAATATTTTAGACATCCCGATGAGTATATTGATGAACACGATGATGATAATGATGATCATGTTAAAGAGTACTATTGTAAATGTCGTGATAGAGATAGAAAAGGAATCAAGAGGACGAAGTTAACATACATAAATTTTAATAAGTTTCGTTAATCAATTGTGTGACTAGAGGCTGAGATGTTTTGTTGGATAAATTTAAGAGTTTTTTTTTTTTTGGTTTGTTTGAAATGTAATGAAAATGAATTTTGGCTAATTGTTGGAGACCATTGTGACTTGTTTTTTTGTCTAATACACATTTTTTCTTGAGTCTATTAAAATAATATTAGCTCCCACCTTTATAATTTTAAACAAATACTTTTTAAAACAAGTCATCAAATTGATAAATATATTTTCTTATAAACACTTAAAAATTGATACTAGATAACAATTAAAATTTATATTTACAGTAATAAAATTTATAGGGATCGATAACATTTCCCAATAACTTTTGTGCATAGAAAATATTTGTGTCTATTTTAAAAAATAGTGTGTGATTTTTCAATTGACTTTAGGGAGGGGTGTAATTTCCCCTATAATTAATGAATTTTAAGTTTTTTATTTTTTATTCCAAAGATGTTTTACAATTATGACTGATCAGTAGTATCAAGTTAATACTAATTGACTTTAGAGTTTAAAGTTCCATTTCTAAAAATTATATTGATAGATATACCTTCTTCTCTCTAATTACAAAAACCTTCTATGATATATGACGAGAATTAACAAAGATTGTTGAAATATTAATTTTGTTATTTATTTGTGTAATTTTACAACTTTATTTTTAAGAGGGATAATTATTTGATTTCTTTCCTAAATATAAAACTTCTTTTCTAATTAAAGAAAATGTTAACAAACTTACGATTTAAGATAACATATAAAGTTTAATATTATAATAGTAATATAAAATTTATTTATAATTATTATAGTAGTTCAGTAAATATAAAATTTAACATTATTATTTTTAAGATTAAATATAATTTTAGTCTCTATAAAATTGTTAAAAATGAATTTTAGTCTCCATAAAAAAGTGAGCTTTAGTCTTTATAAAATTATTTTTATATATAATTTTAGTCTCTCTACAAAAACTAAAAGCAAAAATAATTTTATAAAGACTTAAACTCGGCTTTTTTTAAGAGATTAAAAACTAAAATTAAAATATTTATAGTAACAAAATATATTTAACTTATATTTTTAATATAAAAAGAAAAGTATGGTCTTATCTCAACCTTAAATATTAGACTTATTTTTCAATCGGTGTGACTTTTCACCGAGGCTACTAAGAGAAAAAGTAAAACATAATACTTATAGTGATCCATTTAATATTGTCCTATTATAAATTCTCCTTTAATGAAAACTTATTACTCAGAAGATAAAAATTTAGGGAGCCAAAAGGTTTATGCACTAGTACTATACTTTATCTCAAACGTTGCAACCCCTTTTCTTCCGGAGGTTGTTAATTCCAACTAAATCAAAACTCATATGTGAAACTATATATAAATGTAGATTTATTTGTGAAACTATATCATCACACACACATTCAGATCAATCTTAAGCTATTCCAAGATTTGTATTTACAAAATGGTTTCAAGTTCAAGGCCAATTAAGGTAATGAAATTTGAGGATCTAATCCAGTTAGTTCCGAATTGGCTTGAACTTCCCAGAGAATTGACATCAAAGATACTTCAATTGCTTGGTCCTGTAGAAATTGTGAGGAATGCATGTCAAGTGTGTCCTATGTGGAGGAACATTTGTAGGGATCCTAGCATGTGGAAGAGCATTGAAATGATTAAGGGTTTCAATTCACCCTATAACTTAGAGAAGATTTGTATGTATGTTGTTGATCAAGGTTGTGATCATGTTGAAGAAATTAATGTTGAGTATTTTGCTACTGATGAACTCATCAAAAAAATAGCTGAAAGGTAATAATACTATATCTTATTTTTGTTTTCATGTTAAATTTTTTTGTTATGTTAAGGATTTGTTCTTATTTCTAATCAACCATTTTTTGTTTTAATTTTGACTTCAAATTATACAGAACTACCAATCTGCGGCGCATCAGGATCTCAAAATGCTTGAAAATTTCTGATAAAATATTTAGTGATGCTACCAAAAAGTTTTCACTACTTGAGGAGCTTGAACTTTCATTCAATAATTTAAACAAAGATTCTCTTGAAGCTATTGGGCAAAACTGTCCACATTTGAAAACACTGAAATTCAATAGAGCCTACAAAGGAATTAAGTGTATATCCTACAAAGGTTCTAAATGCAACAAAGAAGCATTTGCTATTGCAAAAACAATGCCCGGATTAAAACATCTTGAGCTATGGGGAAACAAGCTTACAAATGATGGTTTAGTTGCTATTCTTGATGGTTGTCTTAATCTTGAATTTCTTGACCTTCGTATGTGTTACAATCTTGTTATGTTTGAAGATTTGGAGAAAAGGTGTGATGAGAATATTAAATATTTTAGACATCCAGATGAGTATATTGATGAACACGATGATGATAATGATGATCATGTTAAAGAGTACTATTGTAAATGTCGTGATAGAGATAGAAAAGGAATCAAGAGGACGAAGTTAACATATATGAATTTTAATAAGTTTCGTTAATCAATTGTGTGACTAGAGGCTGAGATGTTTTGAAGGAATTTTGTTGGATAAATTTAAGAGTTTTTTTTTTTTTTGGTTTGTTTGAAATGTAATGAAAATGAATTTTGGCTAATTGTTGGAGACAATTGTGACTTGTTTTTATTTTATTTTATTGTTAAATATAGTTTTATTAGGAGAATTTGCTTAGTTTATGGATGTCTAATACACATTTTTTCTTGAGTCTATTAAAATAATATTAGCTCCCACCTTTATAATTTTAAAACAAATACTAACTTTTTAAAACAACTCATCAAATTGATAAATATGTTTTCTTATAAACACTTAAAAATTGATACTAGATAACAATTTAAATTTATACTTACAGTAATAAAATTTATAGGGATCGATAACATTTCCCATTAACTTTTGTGCATAAAAAATATTTGTGTCTATTTTAAAAAATAGTGTGTGATTTTTCAATTGACTTTAGGGAGGTGTGTAATTTCCCCTACAATTAATGAATTTTAAGTTTTTTATTTTTTATTCCAAAGATGTTTTACAATTATGACTGATCAGTAGTATCAAGTTAATACTAATTGACTTTAGAGTTTAAAGTTCCATTTCTAAAAATTATATTGATAGATATACCTTCTTTTCTCTAATTACAAAAACCTTCTATGATATATGACGAGAATTAACAAAGATGGTTGAAATATTAATTTCGTTATTTATTTGTGTAATTTTACAACTTTATTTTTAAGAGGCATAATTATTTGATTTCGTTCCTAAATATAAAACTTCTTTCCTAATTTTATTTGTTTTAAATTATTTATTTATTAATTTGACATCTATTATTAGGGGTATTCAAATTCAAATCAATCTAAATTTAAAATTAAAAATCGATTCAAAAAATTGAAATTTATTAGATGTAATTGAATGTTATTTTGTGAAAATGGTCGGATCGGATTTCGGATAAATTTTTCAAAATCGATCCAAATCAAACCGAATCACACATATATTTTTATACTTATTTACTTTTTATTAATATGATATGTTACATGAATTTATTATCATATAATATTAATTTATTTAAGAATATTTATTAGCTTGATATAATCAATTTATTTATATCATTTCAATCATAATCCACCACTCTCATTTTATAATATTAAATTTTATATATTACATCAAATCTACTATTTATTAGTAGTTTTATAGTATTAATAAAAATATAATATATAATTTGGATATTAAAAAATTGATCCAAATTAAATTATATAAAATTGGATCGAATCGATTAAAATTTTTAAATATATCATCTAAAATCAAACCGAATTGTGAGTAATTAATTTATCTTTGAATCGAATGAATTTTTGCCTTAAAACCGATCCAAACTGAACCGCGAACTCCCCTATTTATTATTATTACTTTTCACTTACTTGTCTTGATTTATTAAGATAAAAACGGAAAAGTTAGCTATAACATTTAGAAAAATAATTTATATATATTAAATAACATAAATATTTTATTATTAAAATAAGTAAATATTATTTAAAATATTCAATATTAAAAATTGATTATAAATTAAAGACGTAAGAGGCTTAAGGGTTTGTTGTTGTAGGGTTGAGAGTTAGTTCACGTGGGAGGTGAGAAACTTTATATAAGCAGTTTTTGTATAAGAATTTGATTGTCCTTCTCAGTTTTGGACAAATATATATTTATAGTCATATTGGGTCTGGATCCTAGGCTTCTTGGAAATTGTAATTGTCACTAAAAAGATACAGGAGTGGACGGTTAATCCAAAATTATATCAGAGAACATGGTCAAATGACTCCTTCCCTACCGTTATAAAAGCATTGTTAAATTGTAATTCATAGTGTCAAAGAAGATTTGATTTATTTTAGATTTAAATAGATTTGATTTAAGTCCAGAATAGATTTGATTTAGTAACAAAAAGATATTTTGGGCTTTGGGCTTAGGGTGTAAGCTCAGTTATAAATAGAGGGAGTAACCCCTATTTTTCAAAGCAAGTCAAGTAAGTCAAGTAAGTCAATTCATTGTAATCACAGAATTTGCAGTTGCAAGTGATTAAGAAAGTTTTTCCACAGTTTGTGGGCAGAGAGAAACTCTGCAGAAATATTTGTCTTGTCTTCTTTTCTTTGTTTGTCTCATAATTAAATTGTCATTATGGTAGAAATTCATCATAGAATTTGGTGGATTTCCAACATCTGGTATCAGAGCTTTTGTTTAGATTCAAGGGAAGTGTCAATCAAGAACGATTGAAGAATTCACGATGACAAGTTATGGGAATACAAACTATCCAGCAACGCTACCAATTCTGAAAGTTGACAACTATGAGAATTGGTGCAAACAGATGAAAGTCTTATTCAGGTGTCAAGGTCTTTGGGACCTTGTAAAAGATGGAGTCGAAGCACTTGGCGAAAACGCTTCAGAAGAAGAAAAGAAGAAATACACAGAATCTGAGAAGCTGAGTTATAAAGCATTATTTATAATTCATCAATGTGTCAGCCCAGACAATTTCGAAAAGGTTAGTGATTCGGAATCTGCAAAAGAAGCTTGGGAGATCCTTGAGAAGTCTTTTGGAGGCGCTGAGAAGGTGAAAGAAGTGAGGTTACAAACTCACAAAAGGACCTATGAACTGCTTCAGATGGAAGACAATGAAAACATATCTGATTTCTTCACTAGAGTTACAAAACTAGTAAATCAAATCAAGATATGTAGAGAAGCGTTAACAACAAGAGCTGTTGTGTTGAAGATCTTGAGATCTTTAGCTCCTAAGTTCGACCACATAGTGGTGGCGATAGAAGAGGGGAAAGACTTGTCGAAATTGACAAAGGAAGAGCTTCAAGGGACGCTTGAATCTCATGAACAAAGAATGAACGAAAGAGCTGCAGGAAAATCGAAGAGTGATGTGGCCTTGCAGGCACATTCAGTAAAAGAGACCAAAGGCAAAGGAAAGTGTTTCGACAGAGGTAGAGGTGGCTACAACAAATCGAATGGTAGAGGAAACCAAATCGAAGGAGACGTGTCGAATCAAAGAAGACCATACCAAGGCAACCAAAGAGGTGGTGTTGCAAATAGAGGAAGAGGTGGTGGTCGAAAACCTGATAAGAGTCACATTCAATGTTACAATTGTCATAAATATAGACATTATTCGAGTGATTGTCCAGAAAAACGAAAGAATCAAGAAAGTGATGCAAAGCTTGCAAAACATGAAGAAGAAGAGATGATGTTGATGGTCACAACAAGAGATGAAGATAAATTCAAGGACCAATGGTACTTGGATTCAGGATGTTCATCACATATGTCTGGAAGGAAAGACTGGTTTGTCAATATAAAGCCCTCAAAGAAAAATATGGTAAAATTTGCAAATGACAATACTCTGGCAGCTGAAGGTATTGGTGATATTATGATTATGAGGAAAGATGGCGAAAGGTCAGTAATCTCCAATGTGTTGTACATACCAGACATGAAGAGCAATTTGCTCAGTATAGGGCAGTTGGTCGAAAAGAATTATAAAGTTTCAATCGAAGACAAGTTGATGAGAGTCGTTGATGCAAATGGGAGAGTAATCTTGAAGGCTCCTATGTCTCAGAATTGAACCTTCAAGATTGAACTAAATATGATGGAGCACAAGTGCCTTTCGACTGCAGCTAGCAGAGATGAATGGATATGGCATTATAGACTAGGTCATCTCAACTTCAAAGACATCAGAGATTTGAAGAGAAGAAATATGGTTTCAGGATTGCCAGAAATTGACATTCCAAACGAGGTATGTGAGGAATGTGTGCAGGCGAAGCAACACAAGAATAGCTTCAGCAAGGATGCAGGAAGCAGATCGAAGGCTAGTATTGAAGTCATATACTCTGATGTATATGGACCTATCCAAGTGGATTCGATGGGAGGTAACAAATACTTTGTTACATTCATAGATGATTTCAGTCGAAAGCTATGGACTTACCTGATCAAGAAGAAAAGTGAAGTGATCGAAGTATTTACCAGGTTTAAGTCTATGGTCGAAAGACAAAGTAGTTGAAAGCTCAAAGTTTTGAGAACTGATGGTGGTGGAGAATATGTGTCGAAAGACTTCGACAGATTATGTGAAAAGGAAGGGATTGTGCATGAGGTGGTGCCACCCTATACTCCACAACAAAATGGAATTGCAGAAAGGAAAAATTGAACCATCATGAATATGATGAGAAGTATGTTGAAAGGCAAGAGTTTACCTAAAGAGTTTTGGGGTGAAGCTGTTTCGACTGCAACATACATTTTGAACAGATGTCCTGCAAAGAAGCTAGAAGGAATTACTCCAGAAGAATGTTAGCCTGGTGTGAAGCCTAGCTTGAGTCATCTGAAGGTATTTGGATATATTGCACATAGACATGTGCCAGATCAGTTGAGAAGAAAACTTGATGACAAGTCAATTCAAATGATCCTAGTTGGATATCATTCGACATGAGGCTACAAGTTGTTCGATCTAGAGAACAAGAAGATTGTGATCAGCAGGGACGTGATCATAGATGAGTTTAAAGAATGGGATTGGACTGCAAATGTCAAGAAAGATTCAGTGGGAATCCTATTCCAAGAGCCAGAAACTCAAGTCGAAAGAGAAGTTCGACAAGAGGAACCAGCAGATATACCAAGTACAAGCAGACCTCAAAGAACAAGACGCATGCCTGCAAGATTGCAAGATTGTGTGATTACATCAGATGATGTAATAGATAATGAAGGTGAGCTGGTACATTATGCTTTTTATGAAGATGTCGAACTTGTTAATGCATCTGAAGCATTAAAAGATTCGAAGTGGGTGAAAGCAATGAACGAAGAAGTAAAGTTTATCGAAGACAACAACACTTGGTCACTTGTCGAATTGCCTCAAGGCAAGAAGGCAATTGATGTCAAGTGGGTATACAAAGTGAAAACGAATTCGAAAGGTGAAGTAACTCGACACAAAGCAAGACTTGTGGCGAAAGGATTTCTACAGAAAGAAGGAATAGACT